TGGATGGGTGGGTGGGTGGGTGGGTGGATGGATGGATGGATGGATGGATGGATGGATGGATGGATGGATGAGTGGATGGATGGATGGATGGATGGATGGATGGATGGATGGATGAGTGGATGGATAAGTAAGTAAATAAATGTAATAAAATGCATCCTGGTAATGAGAATAAGCATATTGTGCTGATGGTGAAAATAACAGGAAATGGGGGACAGTGTGATTGAGGCCATCATGGTACCCCACAAGGTGTTGGAGGCTCTTCACCCAGATCCCTTATGGCTAGGGCTCTCCCTCGACCTGCCCTCTCTGAGGGACAGGCTCACGGTCTTCTCTGAAGCCCAGAGTGGCTTTTAGGGTGCACTCTGCCTGATGTGTCCCTGCCCTCACTCAGCAGTTCCTGCACCCAGCCCTCCCTGGACTGACCTTCAGTAGTCTTTATGTTAATCCTGCTGTTGATCCAGGATCCGATCTTCATCTTCCCGAGGTCACATCAGCCTGTCCTGGGAAGTGAACACCAGGAGAGGCCTTTCTTTGCTGGGGCCATTACTTTCCTTGTAGTTCTAGAATTCCTAGCACTTGGTGTGCGGCTCACACAGACATGCTTCCTTCGGACCACTTTGCTTTCCATAGTATTTTGGCAATACTTTTTTGTACTTGTTTGGGACACCTAAAATTGATTACTATGAAATAGAAAAGGCTGCGTAAAGAGAGTTATGAAGAATAGGGTTTTCAAGTAAATCCCGAATGCGATTACCCCCACGTATCACTTGTTAAGCACATCTTGGTAAGATAGGTGGTGAAGGGAAAGACGACCTCTAAGTTCAACATGGCCATCTTAGTATCTCCGTCTAACAGACCCCAGCCCACCATCCCCTCTGTCTCCCACTGAGCCCATCCTTTCTGTTCCTTCCTCTAGAATGCTTTCCTTTCCCTCTGCATTCCAGTCAGCTTCCTCTCCTGACCGAGGCCCGCCCCTCTCCTCAGGCCTCTCTTCTCTAGGCCTCTGGGTTGTGTGCTGCCTCCCGGCCTGCAGCCCTCACTGCCTTCAAAACTCATGTGGGGGTTCTCCTGAGCCCCCCTCTCTTTCCACCCTTTGTATAGGAGAGATGGCATGGCTGTGGCCTGGCCCACTTCTATTATGTGGCCTTTTGTTCCCAGCAAGATTGTTCACTTAGGGACTTGGTTTTGTTCCATTTCTTTCTATTCATATCGGCTCGCATGGTTAACAGTAAATGCGTGTTAATGATTACTCAAGAGCTCTGATTGTGTAATG